TGGAGGCGGGTGCACGTTGGGGGGGTAGACCCCAAAGAAGGGGGGAGTCGTGTGCTTTGAAGTGGGTCCTGAATGGAGCGCGGGAGGGAAGTGCTTTGCTCAGCAGTCCCGCCGCTCTGCGCTGAGCGGGTTCCCGGGGCGGGGAGGTCAGGGACTCCTGCGCTGGCTGCGCCGCTGCTGCAGCCCGGGGGCTGCTCTGGTTCCGAACGCCACAAAAATCCGCAGCGTGGGGCGTTTTGGCTTCGCGGGCTGTCGGAGCGGGGTGTCAGGGGCTCCTGTCTCTGATCAAAGCCGCTTGCCCGTCCTGTCCTGGCTTTGTGGCAGGCGAAAACACGGAATCCCCTCTCCTCTCTTCTAGACGTGTACTGCACGGAGCCCTTCCGCATCCCCTTCGCAGGCAAGGTGCAGGTTTGCTGTTTTGACAAAACTGGCACGTTAACCAGCGATCACCTCGTCGTGAGAGGAGTCGCTGGGCTCAGGTAGGCCCTGGGTGACTTTTCCCGACCGGATTTGCTGTTGTCTGGGCTCTGGGCGCTGTGGGAACTCCCCAGGGACAAGGGCAGTCGCATTCCAGTGGGGCAGAGGTGATAATCAGGGATTCAGAGAGTGGAAGAACTGGCTTGAACTGGAAGGAGAGAGGGTTGTTGGTGTCTGGCAAACGACTCGGGGCTCAGGACTCGTGAATTGAATTGTCTTGGGGGACTTCTTGCGTAGGGTTTTTAGGCTTCCTCGGGAGGACTGGCAAAAATGAGGGGCTTTGGCACTGTTTGTGGTTGAGACAGCGCCAGATTCCCTGCGGCTCTGATCTCGCCGTGAGAAGCCCCAGCGCTTACTGTGTTAGAGCAGGAATTTTTGGGGAAAGACTCCAGGATTTGCCTGAGGTAACGGGAATGGCTCCGCTGACGCGGGCGGTCTCTCCTGTGCTGCAGGGATGGGAAGGAGGTGACGCCGGTGTCCGACATCCCCGTCGAGACCCACCGGGCGATTGCCACTTGCCACTCGCTCGTCCAGCTGGACGATGGGACGCTGGTGGGCGATCCGCTGGAGAAGGCGATGCTGATGGCCGTGGACTGGACCCTGACCAAAGGTAAAACGCGTTTCCAGCCGCTCCCCGGCGGATACCTGAGCCCGGGGGGCGTGGGGCGGGTGGCGGTGACAACGCTGCGTCAGTCCTGAGCGTGACGTTGTCTGGTCACGGAGATTTCCTGCGCCTCGTGCGCGGGGTGAATCCCATCCGGTGGGATTCCGTG